CAGACTGTGAAAGACTGGAATGCCAGCAAAACAAATTACAAAGCACTACAACAAGTAATCATGCACAAGTCACTCATGCAACCAAATAAAATGCCATAACTATATCATTTATCAAGTCTCCCACATTAACCCAGCATATCCTTCAGTTTTCATATCATGGCTTTTTTTGTTTATCCTCTAACCCACTTTGTTTTTATTCCCATGATTCCTCATACACATCACAGCTACATTCATCTATCATGTTATGAGAAGGCCATAGCTGTGGTATGGTAGAAAGCATTGCAGTGATAATGGCAGCTGCAGCCTGAAACACATCACACTTGGGCATGTTTCTGGTTTTAACTGACTTCAAACACTATAGAAGCCACACAAGGTGCTTAGAGATTTTGATCAAGTGATTTTATGAACACAACCACCTTGTTAGCAAAATGCAGTTCTGCCTTCCCCAGCCCCATCCAAATCACCTTCACGTCACTTGTAAAAACTGAAGCATAAACTTTCCATCCAACCATCCAGCCTTTTTTATGGTTAACACCTGCTGAAAGGAGCACTGTGCACTATACTTTCATTTTAATATTTAAAACTAGCAACCAGATGGCTATGCAACAACATGCAAGAAATTGGTCCTCATCCACACCGAATCACAATTTGGGGTCGATTCAAGGAATGATAATGAGATACAGAGCCCTTCAGCTCAGTCACCAGTTGAATTCAATCCAAAGTCATAAGTGACCAAAAGTTATTGTCATCCAAGAGCTGTTCTGTGGCCTGTATGAAATAGGTTTGTTATTCCAGATCAGTTTCTCACTAACAAGTTTCCAAATCACAAAATCCATTATAACAATATCCTCAGAAGGTGAATGAATTATCCCCAATAACAGAAACTGAACTACCCTATCATCCTAGTGGTGGGCTCTCTAGGTCTTGAGCTGGGCATTGGAAGGGGAGAGTTTGCACTGGCACTGCTCTTCTGAGTCCATGCTAGCCAAAGGAAATCACTTCTCTTTGGGAGCTACAGATCGAGAATTACAGTGCGAGCAAGTCTCAAGCAAAAAAGGCAGTAGCTCAGTTAACATATGCACCAGTTAGCATGTTTAATTGATCATCTGAAATAAAAGTCCGCTGTTGGAGTAAAGATAGTGGAGAAAAAAAATCAGCTCTGTTTCTGGATAAGACTTTTTAAATTACAAGATCTTAATTACATTAAATACATTATGGCACCATATGTACATCAGAATGTGGAGAGAACACAAAGGAAAGGAAGTCAAGTTTCCTGAGCTCTAGCTCTAGCACAGACTTGCTGTGAACTTGGGAAGTTTCTTAAGCACTCTTTGCCTCAGTTTACCCTTCTGTATACCGGAGATAACAATACTTCACAGAGGTGTTGTGAGCTTAATTGTTAGTGTTTGTAGAGTGCATTGAGATAGCTGAATGACATTTTAAGTGATTCAAAGTATTATTCTACAGTATTTCTACCTTCCATACATCCATGCATCTCATATCTATTAGAATAAGATGTGTGCATTAAAAGCAGAGAATGAGATAGAAAAAAAACCCAATATAGATATAGACACACAACAGAAGGCTGCTTACAAAAACCTGAATTTAAAACACACCACTGTCCACTGATGATTTCTGAATATGACTGTTTTGTCGAGCCAGGACAATGTGTTTATCCAGACACCTGCTGCCTTCTCTTTATGATCTGATGAACTCAGACCTGTAATATTTCTGCCTGTAGCACCATGTTGGCAAACAACAAGGTGTTAAATGGCAGTAACAATGGGCAGTCATGTCAGGTTGATTGGATCACAGAAGCAAATAGAGGAGAGGAGGACAGAGAAGAGATGGAGATATCCAAAGTGATCAAGCAATGGAAAAAGGAGAGCGAGATAGAGAAAGAGGCAATGGTAATGTAAAGAGTCACTGGTCATTAATAAGGGACCCAGCCGTGAGCTATGCAATGTCATGTATTTACACCAGATATTCAGGTACACCGGAAAATATTATCCCATGAGAACTAGTATAGTATAAACAGAGCAACGTAAGTGTCTATGTACTGGAGCTAAAAGAATATTATACATACATAAATAAATAAATAAAAACACACAGGGCATTTCACAATACCTGAGCTGGTATTTCAATCTATAGTATCTACATTGTCCCCCATCTCAGAGCGAAACCTTTGTATGGCCAGTTTCTGTAGGGGGCGTCTGTGGGGTTTTTTTTTTTTTTCTAGACACAATCAAAACGCAGACAGAGGAAATGCAAATGTCATTCAGCTCCTTTTCATTGTCAGGAAGGACACATGAGGATAATACACTGTGCAATGCATCCTCCCTCCCCCCCCCATTATGTGTCTTAATGCTTTTGTCCTAATTTATCCCTTGCATAATTTATTTACATGTGTATTGTTTCCTGATCAGCAACTTGTAAGAATAAATGGAAATTATAGAATGTTTTATTAAACAAGTTGTTACAAAAAAAAAAGACAGATGGTGTCAGCCAGCCAGTAACAGTCCTGTTTCCCCTACCCAGCGTTGGTACTTTAAAAGGCTCACAGAGAAAAGCAAACCCTGCACTTGAGGTCTATTGTTTCCTCTCTTCTCACCCCAGAGGGAGGGGGAGGAATAGGGGGCTAATTATAACAGACCTGCTCCTGCTCCCATTGACTTCAATGGGAACAGGACTGGGCTTCGAAAGAATTTAACTATAAGTACAAGCGAGGCAGGATTTAGAACGGAGATATAAATCACAGGTGTGAATGTTACATGTACCACAATTACAAAAAGTGCAAAGCTAACACAATACACAATAACGTCGTTCAGAAAGGGCTAGTCCATGTTCAAATCCCCTCCCTTCTTCTCCCAAGTCCTCGGCACTCTCACACGGGCTTACCACCCCCGTAACTCCATGTGGAGTTACTCCTCATTTGCACCCCCTGTAAGCAAGAGTAGAATCAAGCTTCCCTTCGTCCTCCGCACACACACACACCATCCAGCGCCACGCGACACGAGACTGATCGGATGCCGAGGAAGCTCACCTCCAACACCAAACGAATGACTTTCCCGAAAGAAAAGCAACCCCAACCTCCTTTGTTATTAATATGTACATAGTCACATCAATATACACGGCATTTCACACAACACACTAGCAGGACAGAAGTTGGTCCAATAAAAGATATTACTTCCCCCCACCTTGTCTCTCTACACATATAACAAAAGACATTGTATAGTTACCTATATTGTTTTCATGCAGTTAAATTGGCAACACTGAATGATCTAACATATTTATTTTTTAAATTGAAAAATAAAATGATTTAAGCAGCGGAATGCGGGGGGGGAAGAGCATGTTAATAAGTTGTTCTCACTGGGACAACTATAAAATATGCAGTCTGATTGGTGGAACATTGTATAATCCATATATATTCACGGGGAGCGAGGGGGGTCTTATTTTTTTCAAAAAGACATCTACTCCTTTGATAACACTGTTCTAACGGCACTTCCCCCTTCTCAACAGATTTTTACAATTTGCTAAATGAAAGAATATTTAATGTAAGAAAACGTTTGATGCCAAGATGGAGAAAGAGTGATGCAAATATGCCAGCTGTGTGCCCCCACCCAGCGTAAAGCTTTCCTTCCCTCCAGATTGCTGCACAGCACAGAGACAGCAGCAGGAATCCGTGGGAAAAACCTCCAAGTATTTTTCCAACTCCAATCGGAGAGAGTTTAATTGAAAGGACGCAGCTCACAGTCTGAATTACATCTCTAAAAACTCAAACGGATAAAAACACCCACTCAGTGTGACTAGAAAGTCCAAATGAAGTGTCTCCGCCAGCTACTCTGCTTTCTTGCATTATGAGCATCTTGCATTATTAGCAAGAGCTGCCCCCTAGCACAGAAGTCATTTTTAAAAGGTTGAGTCAGCCCCTTCTCTCCCCACATACGGTGCCAAATCCCACTCTCCCTAATGCCTTGAGGGATTAACGGTGTGTGCTGCAGACCATAAGGAAATAAGGGACCTGATCCAGAGAAAGATGATTGCCTCCTGAGTGCCCCTCCTAAATCTGCCTTAATTCAAGATCGGAGAACCCAGCACATTTCTGTAGCAGAGGCACCTGCCCCCATACTCTCTTCCTATACCTCCTAGCAAACAGTTGGCCAAATTCTGCCCTCATTTACATCCGGGCGGATTTCGGTAATCAGTGTGCCCATCCCAAAATGGAAACACAATCAACTCTCGTTGCCACTTTTAAAAGCGAAAACCTCCCGTACGCAAAGAGCTCTCTAGACTTCCTGCCTACAAATCAACCATCAGTGACCCCGAGTCATTCATTTCACGCAAGTCCGGCTCTCTCTTCCTCGCACACAAATCGAAGTGTAATTGCAATGCCCCTGCTGCCCGGCTAGGAAACGAGCGGTGCAGCCCCCTTCGCTGCCGAGCCAGCAAACGCTGTGGCTGATTCTTTCCCCCTCTTCAAGTCATCCCAACTCCATGAAGGTTTGCAAAACAAAACTCCGAACTGCTGTCGGAGCGCGGCAAAACCGATAATTATGCCCCTGATTCTCAGGACCGATCCCGCTCCCTTGGACACTGGGTTGGTGGCGGGAGAAGCCAGCCCGGACGCCAGGCTCAGGACTCTGTCAAGTGCAGGCACCCCCTCAGGGGTCCTGCAGGATCTTGCCGTTTCCAAGATCTACGCAGCCCCAAGAGCTGCAAGAAGCCCCGCTGCCATCCTCCCCTTCAGAACTCAAATCTCTCTTCCTCCCGGCCAGCCAATTAATCACAACACAAATGTAACAATTTCTTCTTGTTAATTTCAGCACAAGACGTCTGTGTGTGTTGCACAAAAAAAGAGGAGCTCAGAAAGGAAAGAGGGAGGGAGGAGAGATCAGCTGGGAGGCTGGAAGCACCGGGCTCAGGCAGGCAGCAGCATCGGAAAGGCGCCTTTTTTCATATTTAAACCACGCGGAATATGTACATTTTTGATTCCTACTTACGCTTTCAGGGGGTTGTGAATGACAGTCGCCATTTTGCTACAATGTAACAGAATATTGTGTCTCAGAGTTCTAAAGGTTCGCTTAGGGGAAGCGCCCAGCCAATCAGAGGATGGGATACCGGCCCGCTGCCCAATCCGGTGCTGTGAGCGGAGCCTGGGCTGTGCTAGTTATTAGGGGAGCTGTCAAAGCCCAGAGGTCACTCCCTTTCTGTGGAACTGGAAGCGAGCAGGTCTTAAAGGGGCAGTAACACATCCAAGGGACTGTCACCACACAGAACTAGATTGAGGGGGGCTAGGATGAGGAGCAGAAGACTCTTTGGAGTTATCTGGCTTTTAATGTCAAGAAATCGAGAGAAAGGAATGAGGGAAAATACATTGTCTTTTTGTATTGCTGTCACTGCCTTTCATTTCCCAAATGGCATGCCCCCTTATTCATGTGCAAAGGTTGGATGCATGCCATTTCATCAGGAAAATAAATGACATGCGTACTGATATTTGGTGCTGCAGCAGATTATTATTATTATCCCCAATTTGTTTCCCTTTACCTAAAGCCACTTTCGCCTTCAGGTTTCTTGGAACTGCTAGCGCTTACAGTGACTCCAGGGCAGCACCCTCTCCCCCTCCCCTAGGAATTTCTCAATGTCAGTCATCCAGCTCCTGCAGCCAGTGCACTGGTTACATAATGCACAGTGGCCAAACTGCCTGCCTGTTTTCTGTTTTTCCCACAAAGCAACTTCTGAAGTGATTGTCTTGTCTAGCATGTTGAGACCTGGGCCTCTGATCTTTGAGCATAGAGAAAGGGAGGGGGAAGGATTTTAACCTACATTTCATATGACGCCTACTTGCATGGTAGCAGAGTAACTTGGAGGCAAGAGTTCTGGAACAGATACAACTGTAGTTAAAAGTCCATTTCTGGGAGAGGCACCAACTCCAGGAAGTCAGAGTTTACATGTGACTAATTAAAAGAGTTTGCAAATGAATTATCCAGCATGAGCTAAGCCACTGGAGACGTGGCTAATTCTGATCTCACACCACTGTAAATCAGAAGTAACTCCACTGAAATCAGTGAAGTTACACCAGCGTTGATCTAGTACAGGGGTCGGCAACCTATGGCACGCGTGCCAAAGACGGCATGCAAGCCAATTTTTAATGGCACGCTGGAGCCTGCCGGGACTCCAGCGTGCCATTAAAAATCCTGCCCAGTCCGGCCCGCTCTCCTCTGCCCTCCGCTCCCCCCGCGGGGGCAGGGAGCAGAAGCATAGCCGTGCGCACGGGGTGGGCAAATGACCCCACTCTCCCGGCACGGCAAGCCGTGGGGTCCGCGCTCCTGGGCCGGAGCGCAGCAAGCTGCCGGCCCCTCCCCCGCCTTCTCCCCTCTCATGGAGCTCTGCTGCCACCGCGTGCACAGCGCTCTGGAGGTTGGGGCTGCGCGCTCCCGTGGGGCAGTGTTTGGCTCCGCGGGGAGGGAAAGACGCTCCCTGCTCACCCGGAGCCCTGCCGCCACGCACGCAGAGCTCTGGGGGCCAAGGCTGCGCGCTCCCGCAGGGCAGCTTATCAGGCTATGCGTGGAGCCTCATGGTAAGGGGTCCAGTGCCGGGGGGGGGGGGGCGATAAGGGGTAGGCATGGGGGGCAGTCAGGGGACAGAGTGGGTTGGATGGGGGGGGTCTCTGGAGGGGCAATCAGGGAGCAGGGGGAGTTGGATGGGGGCATGGGAGTTCCGGGGTCTGTCAGGGAGCGGGGGGTGGATAGGGGTCAGGGAGCAAGGAGGGTCCTGGGGGGGGCAGTTAGGGTGGGGGTCTCTGGAGGGGGTGGTCGGGGGACAAGGAGCTGGGGGGTTGGGAGTTCTTAGGGGGGCAGTCACTCAGCCCTCTCCCCTGAGCCCTGACCCCCCCACACACACACCCTGCCCTCTGCCATCAGCTCCGCACACACCCCAGACTCCTGCCCTGAGCCCTGTACCTCCCTCATACACACCCAGCCCTCTGCTTGACTCCTTCATCCCACCCCCACAACCCTAGCCCTGACTCTGGCACCCCCACACATCCCCAGCCCCCCCTCTGCCCTGACACCTGCACCGCCCCACACTCCCCAGCCCCCCCT